AGTCAGATTTACCTCCTCGATTCCTTCTATATAAATTCTATAGTATGCACACAATATGTATGTTACGTGCTTATGTGCTGCATGCGATTGGCTCATCTCATCGATTGATCGATAAAAAATTTTTCCAATCCTTCCCTTCTAACTCCCGATTTATTTTTATTTTTTATTTTTTTTTGTGAACTACAATAATTATTACCAACAATATGATCCATGAGTTATTCAAAAGAGCCCCGGGGAACAAGGGTTGCTTTTCGATTTTCAAGAATTTGGGACGTAGTTTGGTCATCACCTCAAAGGGAAAAAACCAACAACCACGTTCTTTGTCCATCACCGAGGCGAGTCTTGACCACAGCGTTTGCAAGAGGCGCAAATGATTTTTTTTCTCCTTTTATTATAATACGACATCACGTGACAACAACTAATGATATCTTGCGAATATGAAAGTAGGCCTGGAAACTTATGAGTGAAAAAAAAATTGGATCAACGTCTTTGGTCCAAAATTGTCTATCTCAAATTAAAAAATACAATGAACACGTGAACGCCTTTATAAAAGTGCAAAATGAAGATACGATATTGGAGAGGGCCAGAGAGGCAGAGGATAGATTTAACAGAGGTCTTTTTTTTTTTAATTGTATCTATTCAACCTTCGATCTTTCCAAGGAAGGTTTCCGATGTCATCTCGCATTTGCCCTCATAGGAATGGCCAAAGGACCCCTGGATGGGATACCCTTATCATACAAGGACAATTTCTGTACTAAAGAATTGACAACCACCTGTGGTTCCAATATGTTACGAGGTTATAGGAATTCCAAAGACTTTGTCATTCATTGCGCGACAGCCGATTAAAAAAAAAATTTCCCATTGTTCAATTCAAGGCTTCACATCGCCTTACAATGCTACCGCCGTAGAATTGCTTCAAGATGCTGGCGCCATAATGATCGGAAAGACGAACATGGATGAATTTGGAATGGGGTAAGCAAAAAACAAAAGGTACTTGGTACTTGATAGTAACGTTAAGGGGATCACCCGATGCATCCATTTTAATCGACTCCTATTTTCATTTCTCGTGATTTACTCTTAGTTCGGCAAATTTGTACAGCGCGTTTGGACCTGTGTGTAATCCTTACAAGATTGTGTCAGCACATAAAGAAATCATTGGGATAGAGCCCAAACGCGTCGCCGGAGGAAGCTCTGGTGGAAGTGCTGCCGCAGTTGCCTCCGGGAAGTGTTTCGCGTAAGTTAAGAATGTCCTTTTCACGCGACAATCTTTTTTTTGACATGCGATCCTGTAAAAAGCTGTTCTCTGATAATTGACTATTGGTTTTTTTTTTTTTTTTTTTTTTTTTTTAAAAAAAAGCGCGCTTGGATCGGATACCGGCGGATCCGTTCGTCTTCCCGCCTCTTATTGTGGTGTGGTAGGATTCAAACCTTCTTACGGTCTATGTTCTCGATGGGGTTTGGTTACATATGCAAACTCGCTGGATACAGTAGGAATAATAACAAGAACGGTTGATGACTCACATTTAATATTTGGTTGTTGTCTCATAAATTTGACATGCATACTTATAATTTAACTCAATAGAAACCTCTAACGCATATATCACGCATTAATAGATATAATATCAAAGTATGACGAGAAGGATTCGACCTCACTTCCTTCAAAACTACGTAATTTTGGTCCTAATTCTAATTTCCGTTCTTCCTCAGATCTCAGTGGGTTACGCATTGGAGTACCGCAAGTAATACGTCTTTATGTTTAGCTTCAATAAATTTTTGTCGCAAACAAGTTATTAATTAACTCATTTATTTAAATTGATCAGTGTATTCAATTCTATTTCTTTTTGTGATTTTAAAAGGAATATTTTGTATCAGAGTTAAGCGAATCAATCATAAAATTGTGGAGACAAGGGATTACGGATCTCCGATCTAATGGCGCAACGATAATTTCGGTATCATGTCCAAACACGAAGTATGCCTTGTCAGCTTATTATATTCTAGCTCCTGCCGAAGCTTCCTCCAACTTGGCTCGTTATGATGGGGTGAGATATGGTAGGTAATTTTCGCTTCTTTTTTCAAACCTTTTTCCTGTGTATGGCAAATAATCGTGAATGCAAAAATTTTCAAGGTCATCGAAGCGAAAAAGATTTTCATAATGGTGAAGACGACGGATTGCTTTATGCAAATACTCGAGATGAAGGATTCGGCGAAGAAGTCAGAAGAAGGATAATGTTAGGAACTTACACGTTGACTGCAGGGTAATGTGACGATTTTCCCACTTATCAATCCCAAATTTTCATCAATTCACTTTTATTCTGCCTAAAAATTCTCTTATAAAGTTCTTATGAGGATTATTACCTTCGGGCACAAAAAATTCGTAAATTAATTCAATCAGACTTTAATAAAGTATTTTCTCGACCCAACCCTCTTCAAAATTACGACAAATTCACCTCAACTACAAATAATAACACCGACAAGGAGGGTGTGGATATCTTGATCACCCCAGTAGCAATTTCGGTATCACCGAAAATCTCGGATTATGCTTTTCCTCCCTCCACGCAAAACGAATCTAACTCGAACACGTCGATTACCGCCAATGGCAATGATGCCCCGAGTAACGATAGCTTCCTGAATGCCTACGTGAATGATGTATTTACAATTCCGGCTAATCTAGCTGGTAAATATTTTAAACGATATGAATCAACAATATTCCCTTCATTAAAAAATATTAATACTCACTTTTACATTAGGAATTCCCGCCATAAGTGTACCATTTGGAATTTCAGAGACTGACGGTTATCCGATTGGGCTGCAGCTGATGGCTCAGTACGGGGACGAGGCAACACTATTCAAAGTGGCAAAGATACTAGAAAGTTCCAGGAAACAAAGCTAACAACCCACGAAAAGATAAGATAGATTACTTTAAGTGATCTCATGTAATTCCATTATTCTTCGCTGGAAAAAGATAAAAATGCATGACATATCATTTTTTAAAATATAATAGTGTTATTTATCAAAATTTATGGTCTCACATTACAGCCGCCAAAACCTTTGCTTCGAATTTTTATTACTCATCTAATGTTATGATTCCATAATTGTCACTATTATATCAAAGTTACAAACTTGACATTGTCATATTAAAACATTTCGCGGTATCATATACTGCATATACAGTACATGTAACTTTAAATTATTGTTTCGGTTGCTATTATTATAGTGATTATTATTGTAAAAAAGAAAATTTTTTTATATTAAAAATTTATCATATATTAAGTTAAAATAAAATGAGTTTTTAGATTTCTATTTTTTAATTATAAATTTAGAATTATTATCTTAATTTACAGTATGTAACTATATTCAAAAGTCAAATTATAACATGTGAAATGCAAGATGGAATTTTAAAGAAAAACAAATAACCAATTTTCAAAGCTTCTTAATTATAGTATGTTTATTTGTTTATACTTAAATTTTATCTTTATATTGTAATTTAATAACAATTTTATAAAAAAAATACTTAAATAAGTAAAATCATAAAAATTTGTAGTAATGACCTAGAACTTTATAATTTAAAATAATTTAATCAACGAAGAAAATAAAATATTATTTTCTAAGTTATATCTAGAGAAAGTCAACTTTAATAATAGATATGTTGATATAAAGATTATTTAAATTGTAAATATTTTCTTTAAATACACAATAAAGAACAATTTATATTAGCCTAATTAGTAGATTAAAAAAAATTTTTTTTAAAATAATAAAAATAATTTATAAATATTTATAGTTTTTTTTTAAATAAAACAATATTTTATTAAATAATTCAGTATATAATATAGATTTATAATTTTGATTAAAATTTTTAATATAATATAATTAAAAAATAAATAAACATTTTTTTTTATTTTGCAATACTTATAGTCAAGTTAAATCATAATTTATTAATTACTTGAAAATATAAGTACATTTTTATTTAAGCAATATAATATACAGTATACTGTATAACAAAACTTTTTGGAATTTTTTAAAATGCATATTTTTGTTTATAAATTAATAAAAAATTATTCAAATTATTT